GCCACTAACTACTTTCGCAATAATGATTTATGTTCCAGTGAAAAATTATTCAGCTTTCTATTGCTGCTAATTTAATAAATAAAGATAGGTCAAATGCTTTTGGAGTGAGATGGTTCACATACATGTGGGTTGTTTTATCCTGCATTTTTGTTTACGGTTTTTAACAACACAAGTCCTTCGTTACCAGACGAGTAATTTCATCTGTGACATCGCTATCGTTCCAAGTAATGCAAATCAAATCAGGCCTACTTAACATAGAAATTACTCAGCTGTTTATTGATATTAATTGTTTTAAAAAATATAATCGATAGTTTATAAAATTTAATCAAAACAGTGAGCAGTCACTAACTACTTTCGCAATAATGATTTACGTTCCAGTGAAAAATAATGCTGATATTTAGTCTTTTTGACACAAAAATAACACAAGGTAAATTATATTATTTGCAATTAAAATGGGTTTGGTCGTTATAAAATTTATTCAGCTTTCTATTGCTGCTAATTTAACAAACACCAAAGCGACGTGCTATAGAATCTTGACTGGGGCAGAGTTGCCAATCCCCTCTATACACTGTCCCTGCTGAAAATCAAATCAAATCAGGGAAGACAATATACAGATCTAAACATTTTAATGACTAAACAGTAAGTTATACATGCAGGAATTATTTTCCTTCCGCTGTGAAATACATATTAATAACCCTTTCTCCGCCACTTACCCCTATATACCTCCTATTTCTTTTTAAAATAATGTAAATCCCGCTACAACTAGTCGTATATTTGTTGACACTGTACTTCTACTTTCATTTTCACATACTTCATTTCCGGTTAAAATAATACGCAACTCTGCGGCTACCGATTAACTGCTATACCGTTCACAGCTGCCGTTTGTCGGACTCCTCAACGGACTAGGTTCTAGCCCAATCGGGAACCGTCGGCACTTCCGTAACCGAGAAAATACTATTTTATATACTATACAATAATATTTTCTCGTTTACGGAAAGTGCCGACGGTTCCCGATTGGGTTCTAGCCCCCACCATTGACATAACGTCCGGAAACGAAAGTAGATATACTGCCCTCTGGTGGTGATAATGTTAGTGCACTGTGTTTGACCAGACTCTGGAATAACAAGTGATCAAGCGTCTGGTTGAGCGAGACGATTGTAAACATGGATCCGTGGCCGAGAATTTTGCAAGTAATGATATGCCTCGTCTTGGCAAGGTGCGACGTTAGCGCTGAAAAATGTTCAAAAGGTGAGAGTGAATGTCCAAATGACGATCCAAAGTCATGTGGTTGTTCAATAAGTCGTGACACTTCCATATATAAACAATCTGGTGATCTTAAGCTTGAGTCGGTGGACCGTTACCGACAGACAAAAGATAAACTCACACCGGCTTCGAAAACTGATTTTCCTCGGACTCATGGCATGGTCAACATTCCCGGTGGTTCATTTTTTATGGGAACGAATGAACCCATATTCGTTGCAGATGGAGAAGGGCCAGAACGATTTGTCAGAGTTAATGCATTTTACTTGGACAAATATGAAGTCAGCAATGCCGAGTTCGAATTATTCGTCAATGCTACAAATTACAAGACTGAAGTAAGTATTCACGAAAGTTTTCATTTACATTTTTAAAAGCGACCTCAATCGATTTCAACAGGTACTGGAGCACCGGGAAATCAGATTACATAGGCAGATTTAGCTATATAGTCAAATATGAGACAAATTAGGGGCGGAGATCTAGATCCAGATTTTTTTAGGGGGTGTCATTATAGTAAAGTTTTGGAGAGTTATCTCCCTTAGACTGCTTACTGCTCCGGCACGGTCTATTTACATCCTGATATGTGTAACAACACACACCAAATTTACTACCATCACCATTCCAGATTTTAATACTGAAGCAGCGCATGTATACTACATGTTACACGATTAACTTTAATGTTAGTGTATTGTCCAGCAGGTCAGTAATTACCAGCAATTTTATAATATATTAAAATGACATATGTTCCAAGCCAATGATAATTATTTTGACAAAGTATGATTAATTTTGAAATCAATAATTTATTTTTATAGTTTAATTTTTAAAAATCCTTTGATTATGTTTACGAGAATCATTAAGTAAACAATGGTAGTCAAAATTTTATCAGAACAATACTGTTCTCAATATAAACTTAAAAATAATTTAATAGTTAACAGTTATCCAATTAAATTATTGTATTTACCAGTAAAAGTAAGAATTCAATGTTATAAGTACTGTCAAATTTGGAAAACCATATGCTATTTATAATTTTGATGCCAAAATGATTAACGCTCCTCATCCATGTTTCAAAAGCCATCGCATCACATATTACGTAAGTTTATTCAGGTTATCAAAACAATTAGGGCTTGAGAACTCTTCCACTTCAAATGCCATACTGAACATGATGGTTATTTACACACTTGAAGACACAATAGTTTTATCAAATATGTATACGAGAACGATTAATTTGTATCCCGGACGGGCCCCTACATTACTGTTACGGCGATCTACACCCTGGTCGTAAACACCATTCTTTACTGTTTCGGTGATTTACATCCTGGTCATAAACACCAATACTTATTTGATTGATTAACCAACAAGTTCAGTATATTCAAGTTAAATTTAATAACAAATAATCATAACATATACATAGTTAAAATACATACATAAGATTTACCATTAGGAATGACCGTATTCAATATACTAACTTAAGAGTTCATAGTTCACAGGAAGCACACTTTATTTATCTTGCGTACTATCGCTTTGGCCCTTAATCACTTGATACTACCAGTTCCGTGACAGGTTGCCTGACCTGGCACAGTGTTCTCCCCAGAAGTTTTTTAATGCGCTATGGCATCTTCAACCATTCCATCACAGCGTGGCGCTGTCAACCATTACCGCATTGCAACCTATATGCATTCCTTAAGTATCCATGTTTTCACTATTAACGAGAAAAATGTAAAAAAAAAATGCTTCAAAAAGAATGATTTCATGTATTTTCATTGGATATTTTACAATAATTCATTAAGCTAACAAGGCTATTGATACAAGTCAGGCCAGATTACCTGAGCAGTGTTTTGTTTTTTCAATGATCTACAGCCGTCTAACGACTGCTTCACCTAGTCCTAAAATTACATATTTTCCAAAAATAAAAACAGATTTTCCCATATATAATACCTGTTGATTTTTTCTTTGATGGCTTATTATTATAAATCTATGATTTAATCAAAACATGTTTCAAGTGTCTGTAAAAATAAATAAGTCGTTCTCCCGTACGATAATGACATCCCCGATCGGAAATTTTCCATTTCTGAGCAACGGTAGTGAAGTGGAATCTAGGTCATGATATCGTTTGATTCGGTTCTCGGAATTTCAAGCGCCAAACTGAAAGCTGAGTGAGAACTTGAAGGTGTTTTGAATGGTGTACAGGTACAGTTGTGGGATCGCACAACGTTACACGATGTGCGGTGTGCGCACGAAGTGTGGGAACGGTGTGTGCACAAAATGCGAACGATAAAAAAAAAAATTGGACGATCATTGCTTGCGCACATTTGTGTGGACGCTCGACGAACGGTGTGCGATTACAATCGCAGTTGGTGTAAATTGAGGAATGGCTTAACAAAAAATACGGTTTCGTGTTTCAAAATATAAACTTGATTTTTTAGTATGTTTCTATATTCATATGTAAAATTACAACACAGTCTCGGCAACACAGGTAAACACAGCCACTTTGAACCTGGACCGTAGTTTTCCGCCACCCGGGGCACTTACGTAACTCGCCAAGGTGTGAAAACCAGGTGAAGGGGAGCTATAGACCAACGCGAATGCAAATAACAAATATTAATCGTCCAGTTGTGTTTTCATAACGGTCATACGGTATCACATATCAGCTCTCTGTGTCAGACAAAGGTCAGGTAAAACTCTGGTGACTCATCAAATTGTTATTTACCTGTTCTGTTACCGAGGAGCCAAACCAATTCTTGACAGTCAATCAGTCACTGTATACTGTGTTACATGCATTGTAAAATTGTACATAATCTTAATTATAGAGATGAGAGAATTACAGTAATATATATACAGTGTACATTATTGCATACGAGCCTTCCGTATTTTTTTATTTCCGTAATATTGATCAACAAATTGTATCAAATTGCACAGTTGTGCGGAGAGAAGCGCACAACGGGGCGATGTGCATACAGTGTTTTTGGTGCGTTGTGCAGTCACACAACTGTAAAATCTCACTTGCTTTGCATGCTTTTTTCTAACTTCAGTCAGCCTTGTTGGCTTTGTGCTTAGTTATGATTTATTCAGTGGAAATTATAGCATATAATTCTGGAAATTTGACACATTTTCTTACATTGTTCTTGATAATACTAATAGTGAATACACGGGTACTTCAGAAATGCATGTATAGGTAAGTTGTTTTCATTAATTTCGTTATTCATTGAAATGTTTAATGACATTGACATAACGTCCGGAAACGAAAGTAAAAACACTGCCCTCTGGTGATGGTAATTTTAAAGCACTGTGTTTGACCAGACTCTTTAATTACAAGTGATCAAGCGTCTGGTTGAACGCGACTACTCACTTGTACAATCTATCTTGATGAAGCAAAAATATTTTATGTTCTCTTAAAGTTGTATCAACAGTCATTTGTTGATAAAGGCTTCTCACATAGCTAACTTATTCAAGCATAAAAATTTGATGGCCAAAAACAATGCAGCAAAGGTAGGTAAGTAGACGTTTCTGAGTACAAAGTTACAGTAGAGTAAGGGTACGTGATTTCGTACACTAAATATTTTTTTCTTATTTTTTAACTGATCACTTTCGATGGAGGCATAAAATTGCTCCAACAGCAAACCACCGCTATTGTCCTTTTTCGGTGATATTAAACATAGATTTCCCAAATAACCTCGTTTTTAAAACGAAACTAGCGAGTAGATCTGTCGTCTGCAGGATGGGCCCAATGTAACTTTATAGCATTATTTAAAACAGAATCTAACCAATTTTCTTGTAATCACTTTGAGATAATTTAAATAAAACAATATTTTACCATTTGCGTCAAGAAGATATCAAAAAGAAGCTCAAATATAATTAATAACGGCATTTTTTAATGTAAACGCCCTCTCAATGACAGGGCACCTATCGTAGGGAACAGTCATTATTTCAAAACTTATCTAAAATATTTGGGCTGTTTTTGGCCTAAAATCCTTCTGGAGCATTGAAATTGTTTTATAAAACATCTAATGAAATAATTGCTACTAGAATATGTATAGTTGATATTTTTCCACAAAAGGGTTGATTTCACCACCAACAAAGAACAATTCTTTTATAAAAAATCATAATTTATTCTAAAAACATTTCTTGTCTATGAACATCGGCAAATGATTCAGAATTCGATGTTAAGAAATGCATTTTGGTTACATCTCAAATAATTGATTTTAAAACATATTTGTGAATGTATTCCAAGAACGTTGTGTGATCATCTAAAAGCAGCTCATTAAATGAGATAGTTCATGTATTTATTTCAGCTTTGTGGTTTAAATGAAACGTTTTCACATCAATTATTGTGCTGAAATGTTGGACAAAGTGGCCAGACTTTTCTTATGCGCAATATTTTAAACAAAAAAATAAATGAATAAAACTTTATTAAAATGTCCCCTTTTGTGATCATCACATTGATTAATGACAAAAGACATTTTCTCTGAAAAAAGATGGGCTTTAAACACAAACTTTGCTGGGAGATTAGAGAAATTCAATTCAGATTTTAAGACGTAACATTTTGTGTCAAACTGCGTTACGTCCTAGAATGTTCAAAAAAATATCTACTGGATGTTACCGTAAATTTCGTCGGGGCGGAGCGATAATTTTTGTGTAACACATCCTGGTTTACCCTTTCTGTGACGAGACGAATGGATGATAGATGCTTTGAAAATAGTGCTTCTAATTTTGTGTCAAAATGTTACGTCTCCAAGAGAAATATCAAAATTAAAAATAAAGGACTAGGCGGCGAAACTGTGCCTTTTTAATATTTTACGACATCAAGTTCACTATATATAGAGAATACAGGTCGTTCCATCCCCCGAGTTGTTCCGACCTTAGTAGTTCCGGCCCTTACCCGGTCCGGCTCCGTACACTTAGTTGTTCCGGCCTCATATTATACGCCCGTCGAAGACGGGGACGTATTATGTTATCACGTGAGCGGACGGACGGGCGGACGGGCGGGCAAACGATGTCCGCTCGATATCTCAAGTAATTATTAACGGATTAACTTCAAACTTCACAACAAGGTTAATTACCATGAAACCTCGGACAAGTTCGATAACCGCCATTATCCGACC